CCGATTTCTTTTGTAACTGCATATTCCAGACAGTTTCTTTCACTGTGCAGAGCTGGACAATCGCTGTTTCCTGGTCAATAGCCGGCGTTAATTGCGTCCGGGGAAGTCGTCTATTCAGATGTATTTTTCTGGCAACTTCTGCTATCTCGATCGATTGCATCAGTTGGGCAATGATCGTCCTCGGGCGTCTTCCGATCACTCGGGATAGCAGCAATCATCGCTTTGGACACGTCTATTCATAAGTTAACTGGGTATTGTTCTCCTGCTGCCTTCAGGAACCTTGAGATTCCAAGTAGACGTCTGCCTCAGGGCTGCTGGTGGTCAGAGACTCGTTTGGATTTCACAGTCTTATAAAATACATTCTCTCTATAAGCGTGAATTATTTCATAACATATATTACACCTTCAACGCCTCATACAACAGACTCCAGGTAGCAGCCAAATCAACAACTGTCTTATACCCCTTAGATATCTCTTCCCATAGTCTCTTCCCAACCTTTTTCCATGCCCGGACACTGAAGGCAGTGCCGGCATCAGCTTCAAAGTCCTGTGGTTTACACCATGTCAGTAAACTACCAAGAGCATAATCAGAAGCTTGAACATTTTTCCTTTTCAATAAAGCCTTCCATGTGGACAAAACAGCCTTTTCCTCATTTAATAAATTATTTCCCATTATTTTTCCCAGTCACTTACCTCGAATCAGGCGTCTGAATTAGGTCCGGACCTGTGCAGCGTCCTTGCTGCCTTCACTCATTTTTAGGGTACCTTTCAACTTTTTCTCTCTTTTGTCTTTCCTTTTTACAGTCCTGTTGCAATCATGGCAGGGCCACCAGATGTCGATATAGGGCATGACACAGCACAGAGTACCACGACTCCATCAGAAGGGTGCAAGAGAGATTTTTTATAGCAACAGGTTGCTGTTATACTCTGTCAAGATATTTACATTTACTTAACAGACACATTCACTGCCCATTGGTCATAAGAAAGAAACAAAGTTCTCAGTGGGTGAACAAGGAGCCATGTCACTCTGAGAGCCAACTAAAGTCCCTATCTTCTAACTCTCTCTCTTTCTCCATGGTGTCATGGTGATAGCCTTGGTACCTTCCTCCAGAGAGATACGGGGCTTTCCTGATCTTCAGGAAGCCTTCGCTGGCTCACAAGAACAGCACAAACATATGTTTCCTACAATGAGAAAGATGAAGGAGGAGGTGAGTGTGGAGAGCTTTTTGGATAATTGGCTAGCTGAGAAAGGCGACTTCGATGTGATACCGTTGGATAAGGATAGGGGAAACAAGCTGGGGATTAAGTAACCAGTGTCCAATCACTGACAGAGGTCATGGTGACCTTTGCTGCAACATGAAGATGGGGGAGAAAATCTTTTGCCAGAAAATGATGATAGCCTAGGTAGAATAGCTATAAGAATGTAAACATAGAAACAAAATAATCATTAGAGCATAGAAGTAGGTGTGGTTGATTCATGTGTGTTTTAACCAATAACGAGCTCAGGTTTGCAATATGTATAAGCTTCATTAACACCAATATAAATATGTGTGAGCTATCAATAAACTTTGAGATTTGTTGTTCACGCATATTGTGTGCTGCAATTCTTCCACCGTTCACGACAAATGGTGAACCCGAGACATGTTCGCCGGTAGCCACGGTCGATTGGTGTAAGGAGTTCGGGTCCTACCGCAGCCGAGGACGGCAAAAGCACCGCTGAGAAAGGGAAAGTGCCGCACCCCTGGGTGAACTCATCGGAGACCCCGGCCCATACGTGCTGCCGAGACCTTGAAGGGCTGCAAGAAGCGTGCTGTTATCTTTAACATGGATAAAGAAAGGCAAGCAGCATATGATTTATTTGCTGACTTTTTACAAGAGCGTCAGGTTAAGGGTATAGATTTGCAGAAAGAGCTTCTTGGGTTGTTAGCTTATGGGTATGAACAGGGACTTTTTCAAAATCCTCACACAGTACATGAGTTAACAGAGTGGCATAAATTTGGGGATAAGTTGTGGCAGGCAGTCATAGATGATGATAAAACTGCAAAAAAGTTGGGAAAGTTGTGGTGAGTCGTGCATGATGAATTGTTGAAATATCAGGCAGAGGAAAAGGCTGCTCAACAAGCCAGTGCAGCCCATGAAAAGAACAAGAGTTATGGGGACTGGTTTAGTTCCCCGTTTCCCCCTGTTACATCCACAGTCAATCTGTCGCCGGCATCGGCTTCTGCTTTAAACAGCAGCTCCCCGCCAGCATCGGCTCCTGCTTCAGGCAGCAGCTTCCCCCCCGCGTGTACTCCAACAATGCCATCCACACCGCCTGCCCGTGTCAAACCCTACACCTCCTCCTCCTAGTAATGTGCCAATCCCTGGGTCAGAAAATGACCTAGCGGGGGCCATTGCACAGCAGTGAAGGAAGGCATGGGCGGCGGTAGCAAAAGATATCATGGATACAGGGGATGACGAAGCTATAGCAGCTGCTATGGAAATTGCCTGTCCAGTGGTTTATTCTCCCCTGGTGGGGGGAGGATTTCAGGCTACAATAACTGCTTTGGATTGGAAATTGTTGTCACAGTTACGATCCACGGTTAGTCAATTTGGGGTAACCGGTGAGCCCACAAAACAAATGCTTGATTATATCTGGGGGACTCAGGTTTTGCTGCTGGCTGATTGCAGGGGATTAGTGAAGCTTATCTTCACTCAGCATCAGCAGCTTTTGTTCAACCCCATTGGCAGGTGATCTGTCAGGAATGCGTGGCAATAGTACGGCAACCACGTGACCCGTTACATGGGGTAACCCTGGAGGAATTAATGGGGCTCGGGCCTTTTCTTCGGACGGAAGCACAAGCATTAATTGGTCCTAAAAAATGTAGGGAGGCAATGCGTTTGGTATGTTTAGCTATCGATAGAATTAAGGATCCAGGAGGAATTCCTTCTTACATGGGGATGAAGCAAGGTAAAGATGAGTCATTTGGAGCTTTTATAGATAGGGTAGCCAACGCTATTGAACGGGCAGGAGTCCCTGAATTCATGAAAGGGACCTTGCTAAAGCAGTGCGCCCTCCAAAACAGCAATCAGCCTACCAAGAATGTGTTAAATACCCTGGGAGCTAATTGGTCTATAGAGGAAGCTTTAGAACGATTAGCGAATGTTCCCATGGGATCACAAGCAATGTTAGTAAATGCTATTAAAGAGATAGGAGTCGGGTTACAGAAACAGGCAGAATCATCACAGAACCAGATGTTAGCCGCCCTTGCCCCACTGCAGGCAGCAGCAATAAATACTCCACGAGCTCCATCTACTGGCCGATTCAAATGCTACTGGTGTGGAGGTATGGGGCACACGCGACGGGCTTATCCCGCAATCAGTGTTTGGTATCACAATTGCCGCCTGGATACCCACAACACCGGAGCCTGCAGACACCGCTCGGGAAATGGGAGAGCCAGCGCGCCCACCAGCCGCCGCGCCTAGACACAAGTAGCTGCTGTCAACACCTCAGCCCAGCTTCCCTTCAACCAGCCACCGCCAGGAGCCTCGGATTGGATGTGGCAGCCTCAGCAACAATAACTTTGATGACCACTCACCCAGAAAAGGTTCCAACTGGAATAAAGGGACCACTCATTATTGATGGATTACCTATGGGAGCCTTGCTTTTAGGTCGTTCCTCGGCTACCATGATGGGATTATTTGTTTTATCTGGAATAATAGATGCTGACTATACAGGGGAGATTTCTGTTATGGTGCATACTCTTTTTCCACCTATGCGAATCAAAAAAGGACAAAGAATAGCTCAATTGATTCCTTTGGAACAGTTGGCTAAAACTTTACCCCCTCGTCAAGCACAGTCAAGAGGAGAGCATGGATTTGGTTCCACTGGAGGGTTTACTCTTTTAACAATGAATCTGAATGAACGACCAAAGCGCACTTTAATATTGGATTATCAGGGTGAAAAGCAAACCTTGGTAGGATTATTAGATACTGGCGCAGACTCCAGCATTGTGAGTCCGGATTTTTGGCCCCACAACTGGCCATTGCAGTCAACCACAGTGCCAGTACCCGGAGTTGGAGGCCTGACACTTGCAAGAAACACACCCATGCTATCTGTGACTATTGATGGCAAAACTGTGCGGAGTGTTTTATCAGTTGTACCTTTGCCTCCTACTGTGCAGTGCCTTATTGGTCGGGACATTTTGGCTCAGTTGGGAGTAGTACTGACAAATGAACACGCTTTGGGCTAAGGGCCATTGCATGGACTTTCCCAATCCCATTAACCTGGACCACGGACGTTCTGGTATGGGTATGGCCTTTAAAAAGGGAGAGTCTCGAACAGGCTCACATACTGGTATATGAACAATATAAACAAGGACATTTACAGTTGTCAACAAGCCCATAGAATACCCCTATCTTTGTTATTAAAAAGAAGTCGGGAAGGTATCGCTTAATACATGATTTGCGGGCTGTAAATGAACAAATGGAGCCCATGGGAGCCTTACAACCAGGATTACCTAATCCGGCTATGCTGCCAAGCGACCTGGCCACTTTTGATTATTGATCTAAAGGACTGCTTTTTCACTATTGCTTTACACCCTCGAGACACTAGGAGATTTGCATTCACTCTGCCGGCCCTAAACAGGAAAGAGCCGGACAAAAGATTTGAATGGGTTTCTCTTCCCCAGGGCATGCGCAACAGCGCCACCTTGTGTCAACTGTATGTTGACAATGCTTTACAACCTTTGCGGCAGGCCTGGCCTGAAACAATCATTTATCATTACATGGATGACATTTTATTTGCGCAGCCACAACCTTTTACAGGTCAACAAATTCAAGCAATATATGATGCCTTGAAGCTCTATGGACTGACTGTAGCTTCTGAGAAAATTCAATTATCTGCACCTTGGAAATATCTGGGGTGGATACTTACTGATCAAATTGTTACCCCTCAGAAATTGCAATTAAACATTAAATTACATACATTGCATGATGTTCAGAAATTGCTTGGTGACCTACAGTGGCTGCGCCCCATTGTCGGTATCCCTAATGAACTGTTAGATGAACTTCGACCTTTGCTAAAGGGAACTGATCCGGCACAGCCTGTTCATATAACCCCTGAACAGGTTGAGACACTGCAACAGATATTGGACTGTGTCACACAAGGCAGTGTTCGGAGACATGATCTTGACCTTCCCATACAGCTGACAGTTTGGTGTGGAACAAAATTTTTACTGGGTGCACTTACTCAGCATAACAGAAAAACGGGGGAGATATGGGCCTTGGAATGGATATCTCCTCCACTTCAACAACATAAAACCCTTCTTCAAAAAATTGAAATTTTAGCTGATTTGCTCAAAAAGGGTCGTGAACGGGCATTACAGATTACGGGAAAGGAACCTGATCAGATACAGATACCAATGAAGAAGGATACATTAACCTGGTACCTAACAAACAGCATGAAATTACAATTTCATGGGGAGCCGGTAGTGTGACTGCCACTGATGATATTCCCAATATACCGTTAAATTGGATAGGACAGTGGGGTTGGATTCAATGCCCAAAAAGATCACAGAAGCCCCTGTTGGATGCTATAATAGTTTATATGGATGCAGGAAGGAAATCCAAAACTGCTGCAGTAACCTGGCAGGAAGAGGGACAATGTCACCATCAAATACTCCAGGCTTCCGAGTTGGATACTTTACAAACAATGGAGCTATTGGCTGTTGTATGGGCTATGATGCATTTCTTTGGGCCTCTCAACATTGTGACAGATTCTTTGTATGTTGCAGGAGTGTGTGAGCGAATAGAGGATGCCTCTATAAAAGAGGTTCAAAACAGGAGGTTGCATGAACTGTTCATACAGTTGCAGAGAGCAATTAAGCTAAGAAAGCATTCTTTTTCTGTTATCCATATCAGAAGTCACAAGTTGGGATGTTGGCTTGCTAAACAAACAAATGCAACTTCTTTGGCAATTTCTAGTCTTTTGCTTGATGTTGATTCTATTCGTCATGCTACACTTCAGAATAGAGCTGCAATTGATTTTCTCTTACTTGCACAAGGCCATGGTTGTGAAGAATTTGAGGGCATGTGTTGCATGAATCTTTCTGATCATGCACAGTCTATTCACTCACAGCTCTCTGAGTTGCAGAGGTTAACTGGGAATCTACAGGTAGAATCGGGCCTTGGTATTGATGGATGGCTCAAATCTTTAAGCTTAGGATCATGGTTACGCTCTATTGTTAAGGTTGGCATTACAGTAGCCATTGTAGCTTTGTTGTTAGTATTAATTTTGGATATGCTTACAGAATATGGTGCAAAAGATGATATCTGCCACATTCAATCAGACCATCAGATTGTTCAACAGAAAAACAGGGGAAATATGGAGAGATTTGTGGATAATTGGCTAGCTGAGAAAGGCCACTTTGATATGATACCATTGGATAAGTTTCAAGGAGACAAACTGGGGATTAAGTAGTCAGTGTCCAATCACTGACAAGGGTCATGGTGACCTTGCTGCAACATAAAGATGGGGGAGAGAATCTTTTGCCAGAAAAATGAAGATAGCCTTGGTAGAATAGCCACAGGAATGTAGATGTAGAAACAAAATAATTATTAGGGTATAGAAGTAGGTGTGGTTGATTCATGTGTGTTTAACCAATAATGAGCTCAGCTTTGTAATATGTATAAGCTTCATTAACACCAATATAAAATATAAATATGTGTGAGCTATCAATAAATTTTGGGATTTGCTGTTCACTCATATTGAGTGCCGCTCTTCCTCCGCCGACCTGACAGCCAGCAGCCCAAGTCCTCAGCAGCAGACAAAGAACTCAATGTTACAAGTTACTTTAAAAGTTTTTTTACCAATCCCACAAAGCAAAAGCATATTGACGGTAGTTCTATCCAACCACTATAAGCACAGCTGCCTTTGGTTAAAACAGTGCTTGCTTATTTTGAATACAATACCTGCTTGCAAGCCTTAAAACACAATGCACAGGGCTCAAGCTTAGAAATTCTAAACATCTCGCTAGATATACTTTTCTGTAGCTTAGGGAGTTATTCTACCAGGCGTTAATACAAAAACCAATGTTCTATTTGTCCTTACTTTCTACTTCTAATATAACTTTTCTGGTGACAAATATTATGGCTACCGCTTAGCTCTAATCGCAGTTCTGCTGTCTCTGAGGCCTGCCTTTTGCAGCTTTCTCAAACCCGTCTGATTTTAAGGATTCCTAAATTCACTGTCACAAAAGCACTCTGGGTAGTGCTGATAAAAAAAGGCAATTGCAGTTTTACAGATAAATTTCAAGTGGCAAGCAGAAGAGGGGCAAGAGCAGCCATGATCTCCAATTCCCAAGGCAAAGGCAGCAGCAGCCTCCTGCTGTCACCTCAGGGTGAGTAAAACAGTGCTGAAAACAGCGCTGGAACCCGATCCTTTCTTCCTCTGAGGGCTGGCTCAGGGTAGCACAGGCGGGCCCTGAGGAGTCAGGGCTGTGTGTGGGTGATTGTTGCTCTAGTCCAGAATTGAGCTGGAAAAAGCCCTTGGGAGCCGAGGCAGGAGCAGGTGGGAAGGGGCCGGCGCTGCTGCTGCTCCTGGCCGGGAGCCCCGGCTGGGCCGGGCCGGCGCCCCCTGCGCTGCGGCTGCTGCTGCTGCCAGAGCCGGGCGGGACTCGGGGACAGGGAACGGACACGGGGGGACAGCAAAGGCCTGGCGGCTGCAGGGATGGTGGCGCTCGGGCCAACGCCAGCACAGAGCTTCAGCCCGCAGTTAACCCCGAGGGAAACGCTGGGGAAAGGCTCCATTTCAGCCTTTCTGCACTCGTGGCTGTGAAGGGACCGAAATAAAAGGAGAACAAGCAGGGCCTGACCCCTTCTCCTTTGGGAGGAGCCCCAGGCCTGGGGCTGTGAGGGGCCATGAGGAGCCATTAGGGGCTGTGAGGAGCCATGAAGGGCTCTTGGGGACCTTGAGGGGGAGAAGACACTCTGAGAGGCTGTGGGAGGCCAGGCACCTCATAGAACAAAGGGTCCATTGTGACACTGTGGAGACAAGGAGGCTGTTGTTTGCATATGGAACCCTATGGAACTAAAAGTCCATCATGACATTCTGGGGCCTCATGGAGCCATGGAGACCATTAAGACACTTTACGACCCACTGGAACCAAGGGGCCATTGTGACACTGCAGGGCCTCGTTTAACCAAGGGCTCATTGTAGCACGGCAGGGCCTCATGGAATCAAGGGGATCATAGTGGGGCTCCATGAGGACATTCTGACTCTATGAAACCAAGGAGACCATTATGACACTACAGGGCTTGGTGGACCAGGAACTCATGTAACAGTGAGAAGCCCAGTGGAATCAAGAGGCCATTCCGTACTTCAGGGTTTCATGGAACCAAGGTGCCCTTGAGACACTGCGGGGTCTCATGGAATACTGGAGACCATTATGGCACTTTGAGGCCTTGTTTAATCAAGGGGCTCTGCAGGACCTTGTGGAATCAAGGAGCTCTTTGTGACACTGCAGGGACTTGTGGAAGCAATGAGACCATTCTGGCACCCTGAGTCCCCATGCAACAAAGGGGCCATTGTGACACAGCCAGGCCTTTTGGAACCAAGGGTCCATTGCGATCCTGGGGAGCCCAATAGAACCAAGGGTTCATTGTGGTACTCTGCACAGTCCCAACGAACCAATGAAACCATTTTGACACTGCAAGGCCTCATGGAAGCAAGGGGCCACTGTGCTAATAGGGACCCAAGGAGACCACTTGATATCACTGGACTTAGGGAAACAAAGATCTCCTGTTAAACTATGGAGCCTCATGGAACCAAGTGGACGTTGTGATGCTGCAGGGCCCCAAGGATCCAAGAACATGGAAAAGTTCTGGTTGGCTTGGCCTGACTGGTCCAGCTGACCTTGGCATGTTGAGGGTTGCTTCTCATCTGCCCCTAAAACCCTGGACTTCTGTGCTTTCCTTCCTGTGGGAAAGAACTCTTCTTTTCCTTCAGGGTTCTTGGCTGAAACTGGGATTCTACGTCCAAATTCAATTATATCGAAGGATGATTCCTGTATGAAACCTGCAAGAACAGAGAGCTCTCGGTGGCCTTGGCATCTTGGAGGCCACCTCTCATCTGCCTTCAAAACACTGGGGGCCCAAGCTTTTCTTTCCATGGAAAAATCATCTTTCAAGTGCAGGTGTCCATAGCCAAAATTAGGAATCCGCCTCCAAAATTCCTTATATCCAAGGATAGCTCCCAGGACAAAAGCTGCCAGGACTGTCTAGGTTCCCTTGGCTTCCTGAGGGCCAGCTCCAGCTCTCACCTGCCTGTGAAACACTGGGGCTCTGTACTTTCCTTCCTATGGAAAAGAACTGTCCTTCTCATCCAGATGCCCATGGACAAAACTGGGATTTGGCCTCCAAAGTCCGTCTACCCAAGGATTGCTCCCAGACAAAAGCTGCCATACAAACAGGTCTGGCTGGCCTTGGCCTCCTTGGGGCTGCCTCTCATCAGCCTTTGCAACACTGGGGCTCTGCCCTTTCCCTCCTGTGGAGAAGAACTGTCATTCTGGTCCAGGCACCCATGAATGAAATGGAATTCCACCTCCAAAATTCTGCAAATATCCAAGGGTTGCTTTCAGACAAAAGCTGCAAGGACAGACAGGTCTGGCTTGCCTTGGCCTCAGGTGACTGCCTCTGATCTGCCTTCAAAACCCTGGGGCTCTGTGGTTTCCTTCCTGTAGAAAAGAACCGTCCTTCTTGTGCAGGCACGCATGGCCTCAAGCACATGAGCACTGTACAGGGACAGAGGAGCTCTGTGCTCAGTGGGGTGGAGACTGAGGACAGAAGAGGAGAGGCCTGGGAGGGACTGAAGGGTGGATCATTTTACCATGGTAGAGAACAGCCAGAGAAAGAAAAAAATCAAGCTATGGAAAGCTGGGGAAGACAAGATTAGGAAAAAAGAGAGAGGGATTTCCCTCACAGGGCAGGGCTGTGGTGCAGCACATCCCCCAGAAGGGGTCTGGGTCAGCCCCAGGCTTT